TTCAGCAAGTTTACGAGTCAATACCCGTTGGCAATATCGAACTCATTTCTAACGAGTTCCCCGAGGTCTACCTCGAGCGATTTTTCAAGTTCCTTACGTCTATCATTGACGACTCTCCCCACATTGAATACCATTTGTTGTGGATCCAGTCCTTGATCACGGCACACGGTCCCTTCATGCTTCAACGACGACACGAGTTTGCAAGCGTGCTGCGGTCAATTGCCAAGTATGTGACCAAGGTCAACAAGGACATTAACCGTCTTGCTAGCAACAACATCTACTACGTACAGTTCTTGCTTGGAAAGCAGAGCAAGATTGATTCATCAGCGGGCTCTGGTAACGCTATGGAAGGCATTGAGCTGGTCGCTGTTAAGGAGAACGCTACCGAGGATGTTGAAATGGAAGATGATGATGATGAGGAGGGCTGGTTCGGACCAGAAGATGAAGAGGATTCCAAGACCAAAATTCTTAGCAAGTCCAGCCCGGTAGATGATGATTTGAGTGACGATGAGGTGTAGGTATTATATACATGTATAAAGAATTAATAAAAGAATTATATGAATTAGTGTTGTTCTTGTGTTGGGCGTGCTCCGGGAGCTTTGTCGGATGGTGTTTCTGAGCAGTTTGTGGGTTCAGCTTGCTTAACGTCCTCTGATTTGTCTTGATCAGCGGAAACTGTGTGAGCACTTTCTTCAATAACTGTCTGATCTGACACGGTCTCGCCCGCCGCCTCGGAGTCCACTTCACCGTTCTCACCTAGCAGGGCCATGCGCTCGGCCTCTTCCCTCTCTCTGTACTTTTTCTTTGATTTTGCCTTTTTCTTGCGAGCTTTTTGCTTTTTGTGCTCAGCAATTATCGCGTTGCGACTTTGCCCTTCGGGCGCTTCAAGCTCTTCAATCTTGAGCGCAAGCAACTCGCGCGCCTTTTTGCGATTCTGCTCACGCGACCGTGAGAACTGTGAGCTCAGCACAATGCCCGTAGGGATGTGCCGTAGCTGGACCTTACTGTTGGTCTTGTTGATCTAAAAAAGAACAAAAATTGTCATCAGTCTACTGTTCTATAAAGAAGACGCAGAAATTCCTGGTTCAACCTACTTTTTGACCTCCTTTACCTCTGAAAAAGCTGTTAGCTGCTGCTGAATATTTGCAATCCTGAATAATGTGGCTGGGGTACTCACCCTCCCTTGATAAAAACTTCTTCAATATCTTCTTCTCTGATCTTTGGCCGCGGCGGGAACTGTGTCTTCTTAAGAGCCCAGGACGGCAGCACCGATGTGAATTCCCGGACCCCCGTAGCAACACCCGCTCGGCAAATCCTGGTAGTAAATGAAAATAGCATGTTGCTTTTGTGCTAGTGAAGAACTATATTAAGTTCTGACAAATGGGTTGAGCTCAAAACCAAGCAAGCGCTAAAACCGGCGGTGAAAGGTTTGATCCCAAAATTTTTATTTCTTCTTTTTTTCCCCGTTCCTAGCCACCCTGCATATAACACACACACGACCTTCTGAGGAAGATAATACAAGGTTATACACGCACGCATGAGTATAGACGAAGATTTCACAGAATGCATGGCTCAGGTCAGCGAGTATATCAGCAATGTGGATGCCTCGGTTGTCGACAGCATCCCTGAGTCTCTGCTATACTTTGTTCGCCAGAGTGGTGTTGATCCAAACTTTAGGTAAGATCACAGAGAGAGCTCATATGTGTTTTTTTGTCTTGAGAGCAGCAGCTAATACTCACCCTTCTTTTTCTGGCCACATTAGAGAGAAGTATGCGCAATTGGAACAGACTTGGTCAAGCCTGTCTGACATTTATGCGCGTGGCGAGGCTGTCCTCGCGGATCCCCGCGCTGAGGGCATCCATCGCACACTTAACGGCGCCATCATGCTCGGTCGGAATCTTGTCTCGGTGGCAAAGGCCGGCACTTTGGCCTGGGACTCTGGGGCATCGACCCAAGTCATTTCCATTATCCAAACGCTATTAGAGCTCAAGGATCAGTCTCCTGGAGGTAAGTGTAACTTTTGTTTTACCTCTTTATATCTTTATTCCCCACTACATTTAAACAGCTTATAACTAACTATCCGTTTCGCCAGCGACCAAAATCTTTAATAGCAGTCTGCAGTTCTTAGCCAATATGTCTAACCAGTCCAGTAACACGCCTGAAGTCATCACGAAGATTTTTGACGGCGTGTTGACCGGTACGCCCGCGGCAACGTTAGACAAGCTTCTAGAACGTCTCGAGCCTAGCGCCGCTGCGCCACTACTGCTGATTGTTGACAGTTGTTTGCGTCATTCGAGCGTCAACTGTCTCAAGTTCTACGAGAGTGATAACGGCCAGACAATTTTTCGCTGGATTCTCAATCTGACGCCGATCTGGTACGATCTTTCTAACGATATCTTCATTAACTTTGTTTCACTTATTATTCATCACATTATTGAGTTCGGCTACGCATCGCAGTTTCTTACACAGGCTATTGAGTCGGAAACATATGAGCCTACACAGGTATTATCGTTGCTCAAACTGCTTGATGCAGGGCTTGCTGACATTAGTTTGTTCGAGTTTGCCGCCCGCAAAGACCTCTTTGACCCTATTTACACTCTTTTCGAGGAGACCTCTAAAAAGGCAGTGCCTTATATGATTCATTCAAAGGATAATGACAAACTATCCAAGGATGAATCAGGACCAATTTTTCATACTTGGAACTTGCTCATTATTCTCCTTGACTTTCTCGAAGCGCTGCTTTCCGATAGAATTGCCGATGCTGGTCAAGGCACAAATGAGGCAATTGTGCAGTACGCTATTACCCAGAAACCCATTGTTAAGGCGCTAATTGATCTTTTTCACGTTGCACAGGTGCATCTTCCCAAGGCCAACAAGCTTGGCGAGTACGTTCAGGCTCAGACCAGCGAAACGGCCGAGTCGCATACGGCTCAGCATACAAAGTTCCCTCTGGTCAAGGCCCGTATCATCACCCTTCTCGGCATTCTAACTATGGGCAACCGTGCTGTCCAGGACGAGATCCGTGAGCGTCAGGGCCTGGAGCTAGTGTTATCAAACTGCATCATTGATATCCACAATCCCTTCATCAAGGAGCGCGCTATTATTTGCTTGCGCTACCTACTTGAAAATAATCCTGAAAACCAAGCGTTTGTGGCCAAACTTGAAGCCAAATCCACCGTAACGGAGGAGGCTCTTGACGAAGCTGGCCTCGAGACCGAGATTATCGATGGCAAGATTGCGCTTAAAAAGAAGGCTCGCGTGGAGGAAGTATAACAAGTTGGAGAGGTTATTTATATAATCATAATGATTTTCTTTTTTTCTTTTTTTTTAATAGTATGTGTGATACGTGTTGAACCAATCACTTATACATAGCTAGAATATACATATAGATAGATACATAGATAAATAGTTGGATCATTATTCTTACATCAAATAGTTACAAACAGAATGACATACAATGAATTTCACAACATTTGTATCTGTGGGACTAGAAAGGTAGCGGTATCAGCACGTTATATACGTATTAAATGATAAAATATATATTTTTCATATATAAGCCATTCTTTTAATAGGAAATATATTGGTTTTAGTTTGTTCAATTTGTTTTCAATATCATAAACCGTCACACATGAATCCCCCTTTCACTTGCAGAAGTTGAAAAGTTTGGGAAGATAAGACATGAATTAAGGTTGCATAAGAAATGGACTAAGATCGGCAAGAAAACAAGAAAAAAAAAAAAAAAAGGGTTTGTGAAGAAAACTTTACACACAACTTAGAAAATGAGTTTATTATCCAACATCAAATAGTTATAAACAAAATGACATGCAAAGAAGATATGAATTCCAAAAAAATTTGTTCTATGAGAATAGTAAGATAGTGATATAAGTGCGTATTATTAATTCAGATGTTCCATGGCGCTGAATTCTCCAAGAATAATGTGTTAAGGAAAACCTGCAATATATAACGCTCAGTGGATTAATACCAGAAATTGACAGTAAGAACTTAACAAGCTACTCTAGAACACTTCCTGAAAATGTGCCCAACTGTTTTCAGCTGGTTGCACTCGTAATAATGATTTAGCTTGCTGATGCACATCATTTGAAAATGCTTTCCCAGAGCGCCATTGCCTATGCGAAGCTGAAACAGCTTACTAAAGATGTGACGAGACACGGTACTTATGAAAGATTTAAGTGGACTGGGGTACTTTTTCATACAGCTCCATTTGAGTGGTAGAAAGATATTGGTAGGGTTTACCTGGTGTTTCATAATCTAGATCATCCATTCCTCACAATAAGAATTGGAATTATCAAGGACAATTTGTAGTGCGGCTAAAATCGTAACCATACACTGTGTTATTACATACGCTCGGTATTGGCATGGAGATTTTGGGGTTTTCCCGCCAGAACCGGATCCTTCTCTATTACTTTTACTGAAATTGCAAGCTTAAGGTAGCTGGGATAGAATGTATGATGATATCAATGTGAGCAACATGCGGGTCGCGGAACGGCAAAGATGTCGGTGTCGTTACCGCCAGTGGCACTACGATAAATCACGTTGTAGCCGAGTGTTGGCCGCCATGTACGCCAACAGCTGGGCCGGAAAACCAATTGACATCCCCAGTGGTTCACTACCTTGAGTACCAGCCGTACCTGTCAGGGTCCCAGACACGCGCGCGGTCAAAGTCAATTGTTTTAATTTGTTGGTCGCTCGTGCTAGGTCCCCCAGCAGCCTGCTGGGCCACACCCAAAGTGATTCCCAGCAGACGAGCTGCCATTGCTGTTTGTTTTTCTTTCATTCTTACTGTCTAGCAGGGTACACGCATTGTTGACGGTAGATGGATATTCAGTTTATTGCCGTTACATCAAATGGTTACAAACAAAATTATAAAACAAAATGACATACAAAGAAGACATGGATTTCAAAAATATTTGTCTCTATGAGACATCATTGAGGCAGAGGAAAAAAATTATTACAAAAGGGATTGGCAAGAGGGAAAAAAAGGGGTCATCCCGGGTTTGATCCGGGGTCACCTGCAAGTACGAAACGAATCGTAGAGCTTCGATTATCACCCGAAGCAGGTATACTACCACTATACTAATGACCCTTTTTAGTTGTCCAAAGTGTGCAATTTGTATAAAACCACTTCAATTGAACAAAGACCATCAGCCTTTACAACTTGAATTATGGTAATAATGAGACAAATATATAATTAGTGTATCAACACCGCATTCGACATTTTAAAACTGCAGAAAAAAGACAATTGGCACATGATTCTTCTTCTAATTGAACCCCAGCCATCGCCTAATTCCTACAAAGTACTAAATAGATCTTCCACTAGTTTAAAATTGGATCAACCTTATTTTATACTCAATTGCCTTGTTTTATGTTTGTGTTTATTCGTTTTGAAGAATGAGATTTTGTTCATGTGGTAATAGTTATATCAGAAATGCTTTCCGATATAGTGTAACGGCTAGCACGGTCCGCTTTCACCGGGCAGTTCGGGGTTCGATTCCCCGTATCGGAGTTATTTTTTAAATTTTGTTGAACAATTTTTTTTATTTGTTTTTGGTGTAACGTGTATGATAAGCGAAATGAACAACCAAGCGAGATGAACAACCAAGCGAGATGAACACTTTTCTTAACCTTCAAGATATAAATCACTATGAAAATATCACAGCCCATCTAATCAATTGAAACTAGTTGCTATACTTTTCTCCAGACGTCTGGATTACTACCTGACATGTTCTTGAATTTTGCCTGTCGAAGGTCTTGGACCTCTGCTTTTACTAGAGCCAAGCCATGCATAATTGCCATTGTTCCCTTAGAAAAAGACTTCAATGCTTCTAAAATTGGTTTTGGGGAGCTACTATGGTATTTTCTGATTCATCTTTCAGGGTATTCAGATTGAAATTCAGCCTCAAGAACGGTCGTTGGGGTCTTTGAACCCCAAGGGGTAGAGGGGATGGTCTCCTCCTCAACCAGCGCTGGAGTCTGTAGCTACACACCAATAATAATTGGATCTTCGCATTTAGCTCTTTGATAGTCATATTTACGAAAAAAAACGCGTATCAAGCTTTTCGTGTTGCTTGACGAAGTTTCTAGCCCAACGCTTGCCGACGGGTGACATATCGCGGTCTGCAAGCAATCGGTTGGCCATTTCTTCAACACCACGCAGTCGCGGGGGAAAACCTCGCAAAATTAGGTCCAGAATATACTGAATATACTATCTTTTTCTCTAGATTAGATATTTTGCGTGATTTGGGGATAATATTAGCTCGAGCTTGTACGCCGTTGTGTCGGCAGAGAAGAGTCGTGTAATTGACTTGATAGAGCTTGGCGGCGCGTCAAAGACTCAATTTTTGGCCTTTTTTATAGGTTTGAAGGGCTAGAAGGATTATAGCTTCATTATTTGTCTGTAGCATCTTACGTGGTTGACAATTAATTGATTAAATGGAAAGGTTGTTGGATGAAGAAAAGTGATCATTTACCTTGTCTGATCATTTCACTTATCATATACGTTAATGACATAAACTAAATATCATCCGCAAATCTGTTCAAGTGGTTGTCCTAAATGGCATTTCAAATTTCTACAGTTGAACAAGGCTAATTAAAGTATACCTTGTGAATAGATATATTGGGAAATAACACAGAAATTTAAAGAATATGAAATTGGTTATTCATGTGTTATAGAAAATAGAAAAAAATTATACAAACAATAAAGATATTTCGAGACGTGTGTTTTTCTACTAAACAGGAAATGATACTTATCCAACACTTTATCAACACAATGATAACGTATGACTAAGCTTTGATTATCAACACATATCCCCTGTGATCCTAAAAACTTGTAAATGTAAAACAAGTTATTATAAATACAAGAAAAATTAAAAACTGTTCTTAACTGTATATAATAATCATGTAAATGAGAATATGGTTGAGCAAACTAGCAAGTGAATAAATATAAACATGAGAATATGATGTAGCAAATGAAACTATATAAATAGCTGGTAAATTTTCACAGAAATCTTTTTATTTCATTTCCTCTTTTACCACACCATATTCTTTTTTTTTTTTATTGAATTATTCTGGGAGAAAGCTAAAACAGCAGGTATAGTATATTCGATAGCTGAAGAGCTCCTAATCAATATTTTGTATACTATCCCTCAGAATCCTGACATGCATTCAGCTGTACAGGGATATATGTCACAAGCCTCTATATATGTGCGTGATCTATATATTTCCATGCCTCCTCGATTCAAGCTGTCAAAATATCTATATTAGCTTTATTATTTTTCAGCCCATGAAGATTAGGATAGAGCCAATAGAGCTCATGATTCAGAACCCCTCCATACACGCCCAATAGGATTTAGATTGGGACTGCAAGATGGCTAATCTACCACCCAAATACCATTCTTCTCGTGCCACTCTTTGGGAATATTTGCAATATGTATGTGGGTATTATACTTCTGGGCTAGCTCTAACTCGTTCCCCTTCCAGAACCGGCAATATACACTTTTCTTTGCTGCGTATATAGCTATGAGCTTTAGACACTGCTTAGATCGCTACTTGCAGATATGATGTCGGCGGAGGATTCATTTGAAAGTGTTCACAGACATACAATCCCTATCCAGTTGTACAAGATTCCGCCGTGGCACCTTGGGGAACCGCCTAGCTAATTGAACCAAATAGCGCTCCTCACAAGAATTCAACAACTTTGGGCCCCTGTACGGTCTGCACGGGACCTTTATTTGAAGTCTTGGCGCTTAGAGAACCATTTTATGGTGCGGTCGATAGGTTTGTAGTCAATATTGAAGCAGCGTGAGATGGTTGTCTTTTTTGGCTAGCTGCTACGCTTGCAAAAGTAGCTACGCGTACCTCTGAAAAGAGGGATTCGTTTCTCTGTCAGGTTCTGCTTACTTGGGTACCTAAACCATATGGATCTGACATTTTGAAGACATATGGTGGAGAATTGAAGATTGTTGTACATGGCGTAGACGTTGGAACAAAACTTTCTTGAACTATGTAACTATAAATCTGTTTTTTTGGGCTAATAAATGTTATAACATGACAAACTCAAATAGATAACAAGGATATAAAAGGAAACATTTAATTCCAGCTCACTTTCCTCTGAGAAGCCGATTAATTAGTTGTCGTGACCGATATTTGAGATTTAGACAGTCTATGATGCCGAGTTATTCACATACTCAACCCGCATGCCAAGGAAAATCCTTTGAAATCGCCACTGCAATATGCCGTTTCAATAGGATGACAAGTTGGTAAAACGTCGATAAGCTATGGTGTTAAACTGACAATCAGCTGAGTAGATGTAGTGGCGAGTCGAAAACTTTGGCCACCGCTTCAATGCCCTTTTTGTTATCACGGAGGGCACTGAGACCAAGTTTTGGGGAGGTTTCTCATGCCGACACTTCCAAGTGCACTCGGAGCAAAGCGCTTGCCAAGCTCCTCTGGTGGTCTACTAAAAGGCAGGGCTTTCCGTGTCTTGCTGCAAAAGATGAATACCGCAGTTGACTTGAAAGCTTCTAGAACTCTTGTCAATGCCAGGCTCTGAACCGCTTTGACTTTGCCCTTATGGGGGGGTTTGAGATTATCTGGTACTACGAAAGGTTTGAGTACTTCATACCAGGCCTAATTCACAAGACAGAGCTCTCCCATGGTCTGGTCGATGATGCCTCTAAAGACTTTTTCCAACCCACCTACTACGCTGGTTACCTTTTTTTTTTTTTTTTGCTTTAAATTAACATTTTCAGTGTGCTGTGCAAACGAGAACCTAGTGTTAAAACTAGCTCCTGGCAGGTTTTGGCTTTTCATTTTTGGGCAATCTCTTTGGGACTCCCTCCTTGGGGATGACAAGTTTTATCATTCACATCATCACCGTAGTTAAACTCAATTCTTGAACCATTTGGCCACTTGTAGTATACCTGCAATACGCCTGAGAGCTTGATACCGTTCTTGTTGATGTCCCCACTTCTGGTATCGATTGAAATATCACCAACAAACCCAGCTACCTCGGCTCCAGTATTCTTCAATTGCGTCTTCAAATTAAAATTCCATGTATTCTTGGGGGGTTTTTAAGCGAAATTCTAAAAAAAGAGAAAAAGGTTTCGGAGTTGGTATTGTCTTTGTCAGAACCCATTAATCTGGAGTCCATCAAAGTATCAAGCAAACTCTATAAAGACTTGGTTGAAACCAGACTTGAGTTCCTTTTTTTTTTTTTTTTTTTTTTTTTTTAATATTTATTTTATTTTTTTGCGTCAATTCTAAAACCTGTCCATTGTAATCAAATAGCATTGATGTGGATCTTGCGCAGATGGTCTGGCCATGGTATTTATGCGTGACCCATTTTTGTTTTGGTGTCCCATGGTGCTTGGCAACTGGCAAAAGCGGCGACTGATCAGTGGTGTTTCAAGTAATAAAGTTCTTTTTTTTTATTTTTTATTTATTTACCGATTCCGATGTTGCCAATTGTTATTAAACTTATGTGTACTACCTATTCTACTGCTTATATCTCTGAAAGTTCCATATTTGCTTTTGGTACCCTTGATGACAATTTGACCCTAGAGACCAGGGCTATAGCTGTTATAGGAATTAACCAAAATAAAATAAAATAAAAGAGTGCAGACCATGACCCTTGCTACGTATCATACTCTAAAACCATCGATCTCCCGTTCAATGTTACATAAACATAGCGTCAAGCTGATGACCATTTCTGGTTTAATTCTGCCGGATCTCATTTGTGCCCTCCTCTTCATCCAAAAAAAATGAAAATAAAACAAGCTCGACTGAGAGGGTATAGGTGTTGAGGTCCTGAACAATGGCAAAAAAACAAACAAACAGAACAAATGGTTTGACTTACATAAAAATAGGCTTAGCAAACAGCTGAATGGTAGGTATCAAAAAGTGGCTCCTGCTGTATCATGATCAGTACCAGGTAGCTGGTGGACAACAATAACCGAGTATTATCAAGGGCTAAAATGGGGTGTCATGATCATTCAAACAACAACTACAACCAATTAACAGCAGTTTTTTACTTAAAAATGTTTTATATAAGATGTCGTCTAAGTTTTTTTTATGAGATGTTTATGA